ATCTTCTTTACAAGTTTTACAATGTGAAATATTTTTCTTTGTGTCCAGTGAACATCATGTCTCGTGAGACCAGTGAATCAAACACCCACAGGGGGCGCTACACTAAACCGGTACCTAAAACACATTACAATAACTTTGAGCCAGAAAATAAAACATGAATTAACTTTTCTTTCTGTCTTTAATCGATTCTTTTTATTTTCTTCAGGTGCCGACGTCCAACCTCACGATCGAAGACGATGATTTTCCAGAATTTGAACCTTTTGAAAGCGACGGCGGCTCCGAGGCCACGCCCAGAGGACATCCGTCTTCTGAAGGTACGAAACATTTGAAATAGACGAGATGAGTTCGTTACAGCTGATCAATAAAAACAGAGGCTGAGAGGGTCGCTCATGTTTTCATGATGATGATGATGATGATGATGTCTTTCCTCTCGCAGCGTCTCTGTCGGTGCAGAACGTCGACATGTGTCAGCTGATCAACAAACCAAATCACTTCACGTCCAACTACGACACCGAGAACCTGGTGGTCCGCCGCGGTCAGGAGTTCGTCCTCAGAATCACCTTCAGTCGGGGGCTGACGCCACAGGACGACTTCCAGCTCGAGTTCATGATTGGTGCGTTTGAATCTTATCTCTCAGCCAATCAGGTGGTGGAACCAGATAGAACCAGAGTTCTGATTGGAAGGTTACAGCGACGCCTGGCTCCTGATTGGATGGTTTGATGGTCACGTTGTTTTTTTGAAATGATGCGTCCTCTTATGTTTCCTTTCCTGTTTCCTTCCCTCCTCCAGGCTCCAACCCTGATGCCAGTAAAGGCTCCCTGATCGTGGTGCCGTTCGGGTCCCGTCATGGCGGCCCGTGGTCAGGCCAGATCCTGGAGACTCAGGGGGAGAGGGTGATGGTCGGCATCACCCCGACGGCAGACGCCATCGTGGGGAAGTTCCGTATGTACGTGGCCATCGACGTGAACAGCGGCCTCCGGAGGACCAGCAGGGACACCAGCACCGACCTCTACCTGCTCTTCAACGCCTGGTGTCCCGGTACCTGCACTCAGCGTTCACTGCCTCCTAGTGGCTGAGGGAAGAACTGTCTGAGCAATAGTGACTAGGGCGTTTTATTTTTATTGTCCCCGCCCACACACACTCCTGACCAATCCTGAGTCAGTGTTAGCTGTCAATCATCACGTCCCCCGTCATTTATGTCATAACACACATCAGAGAAGAGAACGAGCTGAGACGATTCTTTTCATGTTTGCAGACGACGCTGTGTTTCTCCCAGATGAGAACGAGCGGAGGGAGTACGTCCTCAACGACTACGGTGTCATCTACCAGGGCACCGCCGGAGCGGTGGCACATCGTACCTGGATGTATGGACAGGTACACACACACACTCACACACTCACTCACTCACTCACTCACTCTCACACACAC